CTGAGTAGATAATTGCCTTCCAACTCTATTCTTTCAGGAAATGATGTGAGTGTTGCATTGTTCCCAGACGGGGGCAGCAATGTTTTTTAACAGGACACATACATACATATTTTTAAAAGAAACAAAACACAATAAAAACATGCAGTCTAAGCCACTGTACTGAACCAGACTTTTTGAATCTGGCACAGATAAGAGGTTGGCCCAGACAACATGTCCACATTTCACATAACTCAGAGCATTCCTTAGAAGGGATGTAAGCAACACTTTTTGTTGAAGGAAGAAAAAAAAAGAAATTTCAAACAAAACCTTTTATGATGTGAGAGTAAAAAGCTCATTATGTTAAGTGATATCAAACATGACCAGAAAAGACCCTAGGGAGAAATTACACTTTCTTTATTGGATTCTGTGGGACAAACCAGCCTGGGAACTTGAAAGCAGAAGGAAGGTGCACGTGGAAATCACATCATATATGAAGAATAATTCCTTACCGTGTGAAAATAATTGGAAATAGTTTTCAGCTTAAGTTTCTCTTTATGGCAGCCTTTGCAAAGGGAGCATACTGAGGCAATGACCTACAGTAGCACTAATTCAATAGCTACTGGATAACCTCCTTGCAGAGGTATGTGGTCTTAGTCCCGTTATGTGTCAACAGGGAAAATATAATGAGGACTGAAACTCGTAACGACAGGGTCTCTTTCTCGAGCCTTTTTTTATTTTGACTGAAGATAATGGCAAAAATTCAACTAAGTTTTTGAATTTCAATTTAATTTTCGATAAAAGCAAAATTGGACCTGGGAAGGGTATGAAGAGGGGACTACTATTTCTTTTAAAGGGGAGGCTTCAAGGGACAAAGAGGCAGCATGCAAAAACTCTGCTATGACTTTCCATGCTCCAGTTTGACCACCACACAGTTCTCTGGGACTTGCATCCTCTAAAAACCAACTGAAGAAAGATTTTGCATTTTTGTGACCCTGTGCTGATGGTGACCACCTCAGTTGCAAACACCAACACTACAACAACCTGCTATAGTGGGATGCACTGTCTGTTTCCTCCCTACTTCATCATCTGGCTAAGAAGCAAGTCAATAATTAGACAGTTTTATTACATAAAATTCTAGCTGTTTTTAAGGAAATTGCACTTGCTGTGTCATCTGCAAGTCACAGCCACAAGAAAGTTTCAAAACACAATGCATCCTGGTCACCTCACTTTTTTAATATGTCTATATATATTTTTTTTTTTTCCACAAACAGAGATAACAGTCAGTGTTTAGGCCCACTTCTCCTGGATACATGGATACACAAAAAAGCATTAAACAAAATGGGAGAAAGATACTGTCTTACACTAGGTATCTGTGCAGTATTTGTATTCTGCACTCAAGGTACCCTAGACAACAAATTCATTACACTGGCCAATACAACGAGCAACTCTAACCTTGCCCAGGACATAAATATCAAAGTCCTATAGGCTCCAAGTGCTTCTTGATTCCAGAAAATGTTTCCACCATTGCAATGCATTGCAGGCTGTTTATTCTGAAAAAAATTTTGAACCCTTAAGACTTTGACAGTTTAAAGGATAGTTCATCCTTAGGATTCCCAAAGCTAATTAGCTGTTTGAATGAAGCTGCTATCTAGGTGTACTACTGTAATTCTACTTTACAATTTTAAACATTGATAAACAATTTCTAAATTATGTTAAATTTCTTTCAAATCAGTGCATTGGAAGGATGCACGGTATTTCCCATTTATGTAATTCAGCTTAGAAGCTTTCTAGTTGACAGAGTAAATATTGGAACATATTTAGAGCCATCTGGAGAGAGGATTTTCAGGAACCGGAATTTATTTAATGAGGGCTAAAAACATCTGGAAAGGACAAACTTGGGTCCACTAATAAAGGACTTCCTATGGCCTCGAGCAATCCGGAACTAAATTTCCCAGAGGTAAAGCTACTGAAAAGTGCTGTGCATATTCTAGAACATGTTGCAGCAAGAGGCATATTTGCATATCCTAGTTTGGGAGAGCACTGGTTAAGGTAACACCCATAAGCTTTGCAAAGTAAGCTTGCAAATTTATTTTACAATTAATTCAAAGGCAACTAAAAATGCCTATACAGGTCCTGCAATGCTGCAGCAAGAACAAAGGTTATTTTTTTCCAGATTACAAAATGTTGCAACAATGTGTCATGAAGTTCTAGGTAAATTTATAGATTACGTCCATCTCAAAATGTTAGTAATGAGTAGCAAGCCAAAACCATAAATAGTGCTTCGGTTCTCACTAAATTCCATTACATCACATTAAATGCAATGTCTGCTTAAAAAAAAAAAAATTCAGTTGCAGGTCTCCTTGTATCCACCCAATGAGTCACTGGTGGAGAAGACTGAGGAAATGTAAGGTTTTATTTTGAATTACAGTTTTAAAATACAATATTGTCCACCCTTCAGTGCCGCTGTCTCACAAGTTCATATTGAAAGGGTTATCTTTTTCTTCATAGTCTATAAAATGATGTTAAATAAAAATTGGAGCCATCCATGTTCTGATTTGGTCGAGACAGAGCATTTAAGGCAGCAAACTGAAAGCTAGGTGGATAGCTCTACACGATTCCTAGTTAGGAAGCACAAGTCTGAGCTTGGTTTTTCAAAGGTACAGCTTTAATCTCTAGCTGGACTTCTGCAAGCTTTTCTTCTTTCTAATGCTTAGCATCATCTTGAGTAATTTTGTTCCTACTTTGCTCATTACTTATATATGAAATTGCAAAGGTGTTGCACACAGTACTGTACCTCTGCAGAACTGAAAGGTATGTTTGTGTGGAGCAATGTATTTCTACAAGATTTCTTTCAACCCTTATTAACCTACCTTTGTTAATTGCTTTAAAATAGATTTGACTTCTCCCTTCTCTTTTAAATGTCTACGTTATATGGAATTTTTGAATAATCTTCGACTAAACTATTTATGAAACTTGTGTTATTCATTAAAATCTACCTAAGCAGCTGCAATTTCATCTTCCTGTAGATTCTGCTGCATCTTGACACACAGATCAGAAGTCTGACTCACAGCACTGAATGTACTGCAACTTTACTACTTTGAGAGGTTCATTTGATTATAAGCAGTAAAGTAACTGGCCTATTTTAAAAATGCGTGGTACGATGATTTTGTTCACAAATTTTATTTGCAGAAGATCCCATTTCCTTATTAAGGTGCAATCTCTATCAAAAAGCACAAACTTTTGCCTCAGAAGTTCAGAAAACCTGATCCGCTAAAACAAACAGCAGTGTAAGAATGCAGCTCTTGAAGTTTTTAATCTCTGACATTGAGTCTAACCTCAGATTATAATATATTTTAACTAGAACGCACAAGAACTGCAGACAACATTGTTCAGGTCAGTATACATTACACAAATAACTTTAGGAGTGACCTAAGGTTTTTTGTGGACTAATCGGGCAAATTTTGTTGATAAGTAGTGCCACTTTATATTTAAAAGCATGTGGCTTCATCTATAAAATGTCCTTTACTTTCACAAAACATCGTGTTACATCTGAACAGCAGCATTTACATTTCATACCTCGTATAAAACCAGGCTTCCTCACGTTCCTTCTCCGGCCTGTACTGACACCTGCTGGGGAACATTTGTCAATCTCACAATCCACACCCTTGAGACACGAGGCTTTTCAACCCAGGAGTGAACTATATATGATTCAGTTTACCGGCCAATTATGCCACGTATTTGCTATTTAATTTGACTACGAAAAAAACTTCACAGTATTTGAGGAAATATTTAATAAGGCATAAATTAACAGAGATGTGATGTTCCAGTTGTAGTTCTGTACTTTTTCTATTAAAGTATTACCAAATGTCACCATAGAAAGAAGTAGAGGAAAGGCATATAAATAAGCATTCTCCCTCATTCCTAATATTAAAATAATGTGATAGGCCTTAGATATAAAACATTCCAAGAAGAACAGCAGATTCATTGTTAACATAAGCCAGTTTAAAAAAACCCCAAACCTTTAAGTATCTCTTCAGTTCCTCAATTTGTTTTTACTCCTGAATACAGCAGCAGATTTCATACAGCAGTTCCAAGGAAGATACCAGCTTCTTGCCATGTGTTCATTAGGGCAGAAAGACTAAGAAAATATTCCAGTGGTTACATGACACCCAGCCCCACTTTCAGTTACACCGACAGTTCAGCATAACAAACAGTGCTAATAGTTAAGCAAAAACCTACACACATGGTGTGCTACAATGACAGATTGCAAAACTCACTTGTCAAGTTACTAGAAGTTAACAATGTTGAAGATCCTTTCCAACTCCTATTGGATTCCAATGCAAACTTCTATCGAGTTTAACTGGAATTAAATAAATCCTCAAGGTTTTTAAAACTATGAAGTTCAGTCATGTAAAACTGAAAGTTAAAACACTTCCTTTGTGGACCAATGACATAAAGCAAACTTTTAAAACTATTTTATTTAACTACTCATTTTTCTATTTCTCCTAAATGACAGAGAGTATGAATATCAAGATTTTGAACCTTGTAAAAAAAGTTGCATTGTGGACAACTATTGTGTCCAGGCAGACCATAATCCTGCCTTGATAAAAAACTGCAGAAGATAAAAATCCTTTTTTATCAGTCAGACATGTTTTGTTTGGACACAGTATTAGACACATCAGGTATGGGTTGGGATTTTTTTAAGCATTTGGACAGAAAAAACAGGTTTTCCTGTTACTGTTGGCAAGTTGCTTCAAAGATGATTAAGCACGTCCAGGTACCTCAAAACCTACAACATATCATACAAAAAAAAGTTACGAAATACTTTAGAAACAGATAGTTTTTACTGTAGTCCCCACAATGAATAACAGTGGGCCAAGAGGGAGACACAGACTGAAGAAAAGTGCTTTCAAATGATCTTCAGCATAAAAAATTCCTCAGCATAAAACCTTCTAAAAGAAGAACACATCTTCAGTGTTAGCACTTAGACGCTTTCCAAAAAACCAGGACCACACAACTCAGAAGGTTTGGGAAATATCACTTTATTTTCTAGTGAATATCCAGCTTGTAACACTTGTATCACTGCTTAAGAGCCCTCAAATTGATGAAATACTAAAATCCAGTGCACAGTTAATTAGATATCTATATCTCAATAAAAATTATCAGTGCAAAAATAAAAATTAATTCAGTTTGCAGTTAAATGCATTTTGTTACAAAGATATTTGGGCTTTGAGGATTCTATGAGCACATATACATCAAATAATCTGGTAAGAGGGAAGCCACTTCCAATCTGTGCTCCAAATGAAATTATTCCACACCCGATTCTAAAGACACGCAAGAACTAACTTTTTCTTTTTAAATGAAAAGTCTGAGCTTAGTTACAACATTCATCATAAACTGAGAAATACTACAAGAAGTCACCTTCTATTCAGATAGGAGTTGTTCTAAAAGAGGCTTTCCTATTTTTCATGTGTGGGATACCTTTGAGACAGACATCTATGTTTTTTCCATCCACAACAGAGAATTAACAACATTCCAGCATGTCCCACGGTTGGCAAGTCCTCTTTTCAGTCCAGATACATGCTGATGATTGATGAAGCTGTTGGGTCTACAGTAGCAGGCAGAGTAGCTTGGCAGGAATTCAGTGTTATTGAAAGAAATCTCAAATACTTATTCCATCTCCTCTACTAACTTTAATCACACTATCAACATGCTGCCAGGAACGGAGCCTTGACACCAAGCCATAAGCTTATACAAGCAACCATTGTTGGTATATTACTGCTGCAATACAGGTAAAGCGTAAATTCTGTTTATTTTTGCCTGTTTCCATTCTACATTGGACACCAGCTAAATTATGGAAAGATATTTCCTGTACTAACGGTTAGCTTGCAGCAAATTTCATTAAGGTACTAAGTCTCATTTTCCTTGGTTAATGAACTGATTAAGTTAACTTCTTCAGTTACATTGCTGTAAACTGCAAGTTTTGAATAAAAGAAAGCAATACAGGAGTTTTACATCCCCTGTAAGACTTAAGAAAGCAGATCAGTACTACAGGCATTTTACCACTAATCTGCTCGTTTGTTATGCTGATAAAGAACCAAAAATCTTACCTCAATTGCTTCATAAAGTTCTGACAAGCTTATCCTAAGTAAACCAAAAGCATGATAAATATTTAAGGTAAATACTGTACTAGCTACAAAGCTAATACAAGGACCGATATGCTTCTCATGATTACTTCTAAGCTTGTTTTGGCTTTGCTTAGAACAGTAAAGCTTAAAGACAGGCCTGAGACAATTACATGGAGAAAAAAAAAAAAGAAATTGTTGTCCAAGCTTATTTAGCCATTTTTATGGTAGCAAAACCCTTTCCAATCACAGCTCTATTTCATAATACTGAACAACCCAAAAGTTTGAATTACAATTGGATTTAAAACTCTGTTGAGATCTTTTATTGCTAAAAGTAAAATATTCCGTAAGACAAGTTTATTTTCTTGAAATCTACAAGCAGGATATATAGTTTTCCCAGTGAATTCTCAACTATGGCTGGAACCTACTAACCTACTTTTAGGGAAAGGGCTGTGGCTGCACACTGGGATTGTTAATATTACATTAGTCTCTGCATTAGTCTCTGTTTTCCTAAATGATATGATACTCTGCTGATGGGAGGGAATTTCAGTTTGCAACTCCCTGAGCTGATGCAGTCACACAATTTTCAGTTCCACTTTCCAGCAAAGAAATACTGGCATTCCATCTGCCCTGGACCAAACAAACAGAGCTAGGCACTTAAGTTCAAAGTATGCAAACCTTTTCTTCCCATACCAAGCCTGTAGAGAAAATTCTCCCTTTTTCTTATCTGTTTCAGCTTTCCAAAAGAACCTCAGTTTAAGTCAGAATAAACTGAGTAATGGCACAAATCCATCATTATTAAAAAAGGTTTTAAAAGGAAACATATTTGGCCAGTTCCTTCTCCATCTCAGAATACTGCTCTTTGAGGCGCTCCATAGCTTTTCTGTGCTCTTCATCCACCTCTGCACGTTTGTTCTGCTGTTCTTTCATGAATTCCTCCCAGTGGGCGATGCACTTCTCTTCTCGAGCCATCACCCTGTCTGCCTGAAGCTGAGAGGAGGAAATGCGAACTTTTAACAGTCATTTCCATACTAAAACAAGAGGTTTAATGAGGGCTACATAATTTTAAAGTATCAGAGAAACTGGAAAATAGCAAGAAAACATATGGAAAGGTGAAACTAAAAAGAAAACATCTAGTTTTGTAAAGTCAATCAAAACAAGTAGTAAAATGTCTGCAATACTATTATCGTGATAGCATTAGCAATGATAGCTTTTCTATGCTATATTTCTACAAAATATAACAACAGAGATATTAAATGTTTTGAAACTGGCAGCTAGTGGTTCTGTTTTAGCCAGCTAGCTCTCACTGTGATTAATGTCTTCCTTGATAAATAAGTTATTTTTTCCCTCATACTTTTCTACTGCTTGGCTTCTGGTAAGTCTGATTCCTTTCACCTTCTTATCTTGGAAAAAAAAAATTAAAAAATGTTTAGATTTCCAGAAAGAGAAATCATACATAAATCCAATTCACATGTCATAATGCAATGAACTCGAGTGGATTGCTTGCATACAGTATTAACAGTTTGGTCTCCTTATATTATAGATGCAGAAGCCAAAATAAATCTAGGCAGGTGTTCTTCCATTTGCTCCATCTTCCAGCAAAAGAAAGGATTAAATCTTCTTTTCTTTTACGCCCCTCTCCTTTTTGGTCTATTAGCCATGACAGTTTGCTACTACTTCTGTGTAGGAATAAACACTAGCATACAGCTTTAATCGATATCTGGCACTTTGTCAATGGAAGGCACTGAAAATCCATTTATGTATTCCTAAACAGCCTCTCTGTTGCTCTTCAAGGTCACACATATAAATACACAATTTTTGCAGGGCAGCATTTTATACACTTCAACAAGATCATACCAAGATCCATTTTGTTTGCAGCAGTTGCAGTAACAGTTACTAACAAATCACACCACTTTGACTGGTGTGCTACTTTGTATTCAACAGGCTTTGAAATGCTGGTGTTTGACACACTTTTTGACAGGATTACACAGCACCGACCCAAACTACACTTCATCTAGACTAATCTCACGCTCCTCATGAATAGTTTGCAAGGAACATGGAACTGATGTTGTTACTTTCTACCTTTGTTTTCCACTGCACCATTTCTACCCAAGGATATAAAATGAACAGCCTGAGACATTTCTAGAACATGAGAAATAAAATTAAGATATGCTGGCACAAGCGAGTAAGAATGATAAGAAATACCAAGTAAAAGACATCGAGGACTTGAATCCTTTTTTCACTCTCCCACCCCAGTAACAATGTGGGAAACTCCAGGCCAGAAGCTCACTGGGCACTGCAGCTCTCCTTCCTACGAAACAACTTCAAACCCAGCTATGGTCAGCAGCATCTCCAGATCATTAATACTTATGGCTGCCAAGTGGGTATGTTTGCATGTGTGAGACAGTCACAATCTTGAAACTAATATTCCTCTTTGTACCAGACAAACAGCTGTGCAAACAAGCAAATATAATAAAGTGTGATGCTTAACAGATGAGTGCCTTAGGACACAAGTCTTTCAATTGAAGAACATGCTGCAGTGCAAACCTGCTGGTTTAGAAGTTAAAGAATCCACACAGGAGAGACTTATGAATGTTATTGCCGTGGGATAATCTTCAATGGGCACTTAGTCTCGTTAAGCATGACAGAGCAATGAGAGAGAAATCCGACCAAAGACAGATTCCTCCTTTGCCCACATCCACCTGCAAGACCCAAGCTGCCACAGACACTATCCCTGAAGCTAAGGTGCTAAAAGGCTTCCCTCATCCAAGCCTTCTCTGCTCTCTTGTGACAGTTTTTTGTGCTTTTTTTGTGCCTTTTGCTTAGCAGTGTCACACTAAGAGTCTCTTGAGAACCCAGGCTCCAATGCAGGACATACAACTACTGACACCTAGAGCTACAGCCACAAAAAATTCAGTTTCTCAGCACAAAAAGATGACTTCCACACTGTCACTCTGCAATTACCCATAGATCTTCCCTATACATATTGTGCTTTCTTACCACAATGTTCTCCACTTCTACCACATCCTCTTCTTATCCAGCACTATTAACTTTATGCTTTATTCAACTGACCATAACAAAAATACTGTGTTCTAACTGCAGCCTAGCTAAAAAGCACAGAGGTCCACATCTCTCGTGTTATATATGCCCTTGGCAGTCATGAAAAATCTTTAAAATACAAAGGTTTTCAAGATGTACAGACAACTTGGCATGGATTTGTATTGGTTAAGTCAAAAATCACTTTCAAAAAGCAAAAACAGTTTCCAACAGTAGCATAATTAGTGATCTGTAGAGGCAATACTGAGTGTGTTTTATACTACCAATTCATAATTTCTAAATTTATAGATTTGGAAAAGGTTTGTTTTCTGGAAAACAAAACCATGTAGAATTTGATCGTATGCCTTCTTTCAGTGACACAATCACATATTACTTTACACCCTAATTAAGAGTGTGTTAGGGGCAACATAATTTCCGTTTTGTTACTTGGCCAGTAGCTGAAAAGAACTCTAAGAAAAAGATAATTAGTAAAGTAAATAATCTTAAAATTCATTCTATTCAGCAGAAATTGAATTATTTTCACTGAAGGTTGCTAATACTAATAACTTGACACTACATTCTACCAAAATCCCATCATTTTTTCAGAACACGCAATTTCAGAAAAGGAAAAAATATTTCTTCTTAAGTGGTTGCACTACAATGACAACTTTTATCTATAATTTTAAAATAATGTTACTACTCACATTTGAAAGTTTCAAGCCAAAAAATATATTGGCTTAAAGAAATGCTACAAATCCTGAATAGCTATTACTATTCCTCCACTACATATTAAAAAACCCAAAGAGTGGAAGCATACAGCTAATACTTTAAAAAAAGAATAGTCACCATTCTTACTGAGTGTTCATTTTATAAGTTACAAAATTTTTATTAAAGTTTTACTTCAAACTAACAGTAGCAGAACTGTAAGAATTTCCTATTTAACCTCTCTACCAGTATCTACACTAGTGATAGACACAAGCAAACTCTGTCAGGGTTCAGCAGTGTGCTGTTTGCACAGTGCCAGTATTCAATTGCAACTGGACTGCCCATCTTCATCGATTGCAAAAAGGAAAGAAAAACACAATTATCAGCTTACATACATCAATGAACGGCCTGTTTTGCTTGATGGCCACAGAAACGTCTTCAGTTTTGCTGAACTAAATTATTATAAATAGCATTTTGCAGGTTAAGAGATAACCCAGGAGCACAATAATGAGGAGGTAATGGGAAAACATGAAACTAATTTCTTGTATAATTTTCCAACTTCTAGATTCCAAGCACATGTATTTCAAATAAGCAAAATGTAGCCAACTGAAAAGGTTCCAATGATTCGCATGTTCCTATAATATAGCCCTTCATTAAATAACCCATCCACAAGTGAAAAACACACTTCCTTTTCAACAAGCAATATATATAATATGGTCAATGTTCTCAGCTAACTAGGAAAGATTTACATTTCCATTCTGGTAGGTTAGTAGGTGTTTTTTGTTCCACAGAAAATAAGGGTTTTTTTATATTTAAGCTTTCCCTGTATGTGACAAATGTTATAGTCTGAGCTAGGAGGGAAAATAAAGTGAAGGAAATAAAAAAAAATAGTTTCCATGCATCAGGAGATTGTAGGAAGACTTAGCTAGATCCACTTGCAGTGTGCAGAAATCACCCCAGAAGAAGTTTTACTGCAAGTATATAAGGTATAGAAAAACATGTTTTGAAGTTTTGCTATACTGAAGGCAGATGAACTTGCTGTGAAGCACGAGACTCCGACTTAGATCACACTATAAAAAATGTATCCATCCACCCATCTTTTACCTTTCTCACTTCACACTCTTTCTCTTGGAGTTTATGGATCATGTCGTTGGCAGCTTGCACTGAAACAACAAATTGCAGTAGATCAGTCTGCTGTTCTAAATCAAAGAAACTTGCCTGAAAGGGATTTAAAAGACGTGAGACTATTACAAATCAAATATTATATTCCACTGTGCCACTTAACTGCACAAGAGTTGTCAATACTTGCAGAAAATGCTTTACACTTACAACTGTACGTAGGCTTATCACTGAGCTTAACCTTTGTGTGTTCTAGAAGCCAAAAAGAGAAAAGCAGACAGGTCCTCTTGCGCCCACACTCCCTAGTGTGGCTAATGAGCTAGAGTGCACTGCTCAGCACCTCAGAAGACATCAAAAAAACACTCTTAAGTCAGTAAGTAGAAACAGGTGACCTAGCTCTATGTTTTACTTGGTTCAGTTTTTTTCTTATTTTTAAAGTAAAAAGTGACGTAGTATACACTTTACATGGAGAACATCTTTATGCTGGAGCCAGCCTCTTCTCTCATGAGACTAAGCCTGGGAAAACTTGTCAATGGAAACAGGAATTGTATTCCTTTGCACTTTTTTCCCCAACTTATTTAACATTTAATTAATGTAGAATTAAAGAAACTAATTTCCCCAAAGCAGTCACTTCTCCCACTAACACAATCTGGCACTGAGAAATACCTTACTAATTTTTCACCATCTTGAAGCTGGTGACTTTCCACACCAGGAGGCAGGCTCCTGCCACCCTGAGGACTTCCAGTTACAGAACAGGTTCACTGCCCACATAGCTGATGAGGAGCTGGGAGCACTGTGAATTGGAGCATCTGGTGGCTGATCCTGAGCTGCTCAGGACCATTAGAAGAGAGTGGCAAATGACAGCTGTAGCAGACTCCCTGTGACAGGGGATAGAGGGTCCCCACCTTTAAATATGTTTTGTCATTTAGGGAGGTTTGCTGCTTGCCAGGGGCTCACATTTGGGATGTTGTAAGTTTGGACTATTACTCCTGGTGCTCTTCCATGTAGGTGCCAGTGATACTGCAGGGGTGACCTGAGAAACACCAGGAATTACTACAAGGATCTGAGGACAGTGGTCAAAGACACGGGGGTCCAGGTAATGATCTCCTCAATCTTCCTGTTGAGGGGAACTAGGTGGATTTTTGAGGTTAACAGCTGGTTGCACAGTTGGTGTTGGCAGCAGGGGTTTGGTTTCTATATCCATGAGACCCATTCTGAGCATCAACAGATGCTTGGAAGAGATGGGATACACCTGACTAAACAAGGTAGAAGTAACCTTGTCAGCAGGCTGGCCAACCTGGTAGAGACAGCTTTAAACTGGAAATGACAGGTGAAGGAGTGATTCACAAAAAAAAAGTTGGGGGGGACAAACCAATGGTAGGCAAACCAAGTCTGGGATGATGGTAACAAGGATCACCTTCTCCAAGCTCAAGAAAGGTCCATCCCAACAAGCATGGATGTTGCCTGCAGCAGGAGGTCTTCATGGATGACCAAGGAGTTCCTTACTGAATTCAAATTTAAAAAGGAGGTGGAAGCAGGGGCAAGTCATGCTGTCTGATCGAGCAGAGACAGCATGAGGAAAGTAAACGCTAATCAGGAGTCAAATTTAGCAAGGGGTACAAAAGATAGCAAGAAAGGAATCTGTAAGTATGTAGCAACAAAAGGAAAACTGGGGAAAATGCTCTTCTGCTCAGTGGGGTAGGGGAGCTGGTGACAAAGAACATGGCAAAGGCCAAGGTACTCAATGCCTTCTTTGCCTTAGTCTTTAGCATAAAGACCAGCCTTGAGGAATCCCAGGCTTCTGACACCAGAGGGTAAGTCCAGAGCAAAGCAGACTTACTGTCTGTGAAGAAGCACCAGGTTAGGGGACACTTAAACTGGAAATGGTTGTGCTGCCATTCAGAGGGACCTTGAGCAACCGGAGAATTGGGCTGAGAGGAATTTTAATGAAGTTCAACACAGGGAAATGTCAAGTTCTGTATCTGGAGAGGAATAATCTCAGGCAGCAAGGCATAACAAGGGCCAATAACACAGGCCACACTTGAGGTAGTCTGTCCACTTCTAGGCTCCCCAGTAAACAAAGGAGATTAATTTACTGGAGTAAGTCCAGCACACGGCCACAAAGATGATTAAGGACTGAAGCATCTTTTGTATGAAGCAAGGCTGAGAGAGGTGGGACTGTTCTATGGGAGAAAAGAAGGCCCAGGGGAGAATGTGAATAAATATCTGAATGTAATAAATATCTGAATGGAATGAAGATGAGGGAGCCAGACCCTTCTCTGTAGTGCTCACTGTCAGGACAAGAAGCAGTGAGCACAAGATCAAATACATGGGATTTCAAATTAACACAAGAAAACACTTTTTCCTGTGAGGGTGGTCAAACACTGGAACAGGTTGCCCAGAGAGGCTGTGGAGTCTCCACCTGTAGAGATACTCAAAATGGAACTGGACACAGTCCTGGCTCTAGCTGCTGCTGCTTGAGCATGCAGGAGACTTAACAACATGACCTCCTGAGGTCCCTTCCCACCTCAACAATTCCATGATTCTATTACTAAAGACGTACTGCACAGCTGACCCATTAGAAAGCCAGTAAGCAGCATCAGAGGTTCACTCCAGTCAGATGGTATTAGAACGTGTGTCTTATTTGCATGACTAAATTTAAAGTTTCAAATACTTTCCTGCAATCATTTCGTGTGCATGGGATCATCTACCATTTGCTGTTCTGCATATGCCAGATGCTGTATAAGTAAGTTCTAAGAAATTAAATGCTTATACAACATGCCACATATAAAATATAACACAACCTACACTGGCAAGTTTCAACCGCATAAATTTGGCAGCTAAAGCTAGGTACCCACACTCTCTTGAAATCTCTTTTTAAGAAGCCATCCTGCTGAATGAATAAGAAAAAAGAAAAGATACTGAAAAATTAGTAAATAAACTATAAATTTTCTTTTAAAATCTGAGCAATAAAAACATATATTATTATAATGATGAAACTAAGATTAGCATGCAATTACTCCTATTTCACTATTTGTGACTAAGATGATGATGATGATAATAATAAATTTCACAGTTAGAGAGCAGTAGGTTTTGTTTTAAATCACAGGGGACAGTATTACGCACTCCTGGGGGAAAATTAAGAAACCTGAAGGTCACACTGCAGCATGTTTGCAACAAACTGAAAAAAAACCCTGAAATTTCAGAAAAATGAAATTTTGTCCATGGTTTTGGTCAACATGGAGTGACCAAATTTGCAAGTGAGTAGCAAACAACTGAGCTGAAACAGCTTTTACTTCAATAAACAAAAAGCTTTAATGTAACCTTAGCAAGAGCTGTGTGGCTGGACCAATACAAAAAATGTGCCTGTTGTTTCCCTTTTAAAATGTCACAGAAATGAGAACAAAGCACATAAATAGCACATAAATATCCAACTATGATAATTTTTCTAAAAATTTTCTACATTTTGAATTCAAACAATTTAAATCACTCCTTAAAATGATGCAATAAGAGAAATAAGAAGCAATGTGCTTACATCTCTTGAATGTTTCATTCAAATTGTCATGCATTGCCTGCTCACACTTAGGAAGAACGTGTTCATTTGTTTCAAAGATTGTATTCTTTAGATTTTCAAGTACTCGTAGTTCTCGGAGGCCACGTTTTTCCTGCCAGAAAAAGGAAAGAAAATGAGTGGCTAATAAGGAATTCCACTTTACAAACTAAAGATGGTTTCCCAGTTCATAAACTTCATGTTAAAGACTATACCAGTGTCTCCTAAAGAGTTACTCTATTTATTTAGCACAATTAAAAAAATTGTTTTGCGAAAAAAAGAGAGCAATGTTCCATTCTTCACACTAAAATACAGGAATTCTTTGAATGACCTTTCTGGCCTTTGTGAGAAAAGTCAGTATTAACTGGCTAAAACAATGTGTGGAAAAATGTGCTGTTTTGTATAGATTATTTGCAGCATATCAAAACACAGAGCAATAAAACTTGAAAACACTGCAGTTTTATAACTCATTTGTTACTGAGAAACAACATAGCAGTGATTCTGCTTACTTGATGTCTGACCCACACTCAGCATTGGAAGAGATTAAAACAATTCAAGTAAAATTGTTTTAACTGAAGTAAAGCAACGAAGTCAAGACTAAAAAATAATATGATACAGCTGACTAAAGGAGCAGCCCTTCTTCTGGATCACCGCTGATCATGATTAATTACAAGAACAACAAGATCTTGCTTTATTGTTCCCATTTAAAAAATAATCTATTTTTCTGAAGTCGTAGTGCTACTTCCACTCCCAATTTCACCAAAACTTTTCTTTAGATGACTACTCCAGATAAACAAAAAATACTGCATTCCACAAAGTGGGCAATTGGATCAACATATCTGTTTTAAAACTTCAGCAACTGAGGCACAGACAAGTAAAAGCACTTAATTAAACAGGCTCCAGATTTTCTGAATGCAAATCTACATTCTTTACACACTAGGTGCTCATCATTGAAAGAATAAGCATATGTCCTACCACAACAAAAAAACAACTGATATGTCAAAGTTACAAACAAGAGTAATTTCTGGAAGAAATTTTAAGTTGCAAAGATTTAAACAACCCTTTGCTTTGTTATTTCCCCCTAAAAGTAAAAACCAGCAACTGAATTTCAATAAAAGGTCTAAGAATGTATTAAATTTGTCTAAGAAACAGAACAAGACTTCAAGTGCAATAAGAGAAATATATGAATTATAGTTATAAAGATATGAGTTCTAATTTTTTAATGGAGTTTAAATTTTTCCTTCCCATGGAATGCCATGTAAAACTACCTACTGTAGGGAAGGCAGAGAAAATAAATAATTTCTTATGACTCTGAAGCCCACATGATACAGATCTGATGAGAGTTTATTTCATGTGTGTATTTTGCTAAACCAGTAGAGACAAAACAGACCTGCTTAAAATATAAGCTACAATCTGTGATGAGGGGGGAAGACATTCTTAAGGTCATTCAAATCAGGTCTGCTTGCTGGAAGTTTGAGGTGTAACTGCATTTTCAGGACTGGTTTTGATTTTAAATTCCACATTCTGTAAGAATGAAAATCTACTCAGAAACAGCCTTTTGTTGACATAAGATGTGACTTTTCTAAACTTTTGCTGCCATCTTGTGGAAACCAAATTACACTTTCCAAGCAAAGTTGTATATAAACACTTTTGCACCTTCAACTTAAGCCTTACTTGCAGCCAATCAGGCAGAAGTCATTAATTTTTTAATGATTTTCTAACTTTGCATAAAGCGTTGCTCTTCTTTTCCACTAATATTACTTTATTTTGTGTAACAAAAATTAAAGCAAAATAAAACTACAACTGTGCTAGTTGAATCCAGCTGATGCCTAAAGCAGTTTCTCAGTCAGATGTAAACCTACACTGGCCAACAGTACTTTCTTTGAACCAATTGGACTTCTCTAAGATGTTAGGATTTCATAATTCTCTAGCATCAGAGTTCCTGCCAGTGTTTTGCAGGAAAAGAAATTATGTCCCTTCCAAAAATTTTAAAAGAAAAAGGCCTAAATTACTGCCTTGTTTACTAAAGATGCAGATGTATACTACAAGCGTGTTATTTTGGGAAAAAAACCAAACATGTCAAATTCTTCTGGCAAAACTTATGTACATATTATGATATCTAAAGAGATGCTAACACTGTTGAAAGTCTCAGACTATGACAGCATCCAATAAGATACAAATACTTACCTCAAATTCTTTAACGAAGTAACGTATTTCTCCCTGAATTACTGGTCTGTGATCCAAGAGTCTTGAATAGATTTCCCCAACATCTAGAAGATTAATGAAAGCCAGAATTTTAGTTTTTCTCTCACTCCTACACCAGGCTACACAACACATGGTAGCACACCATACCTCAGTTTGAAGAAGGACTACAAAATACATGCAAAACGAAAAGAGCACCAGAACAGTGTTTGTTGAGTAACCTATCTATTCAGCAAATCACCAACTTAGATAAAATGCAACGAATCAGTATACCAGATGCCAAAGACACCTTTCTGGGAAGGCTGAAAGTTCTCCTCTGTGCCTCAGCACCCTTCGTTTCAACCCTCTTTCTTCTCAGTACAAGCTTCTGTATCTGACTGTAGATAGTGGTAAAAGAACAGAACTAAACTCTGCAGCCTAATAGAGATTTACATGCTAGGACGTGGGAGTTTTCTGCAGCAAGAGAAGCAAAATGCTCCCTACACAGGAAAGCCGTCAGCATTTTCTTGTATTCCAGGGCCAAAGACTTGAAATTTAAGTCTCGAAAAAGAGAATTTACAATATAAGTACGTGTGAAAATCATGCTTGTCTGTCACAGAGAAAGAAAAAGCCCGTTAAATCAAAAGGCAGTGTGAGAGCACAGCAAATAAAGACTGTTTCAAGAAATACGCAGCGTAGTGCCAGCAAGCGCTTCAAACTGTAAGGATGTCTTGGAAAGGATGTCTCATGTAAAGGATGTCTTCCTGCCCCACCTGTTGGACCCGCCTCGTGGCTCTCCCTCGCTACTGTATCCACCTGTTTGTTCAACATCCCGATTCCCACCCCGTTCAAAAAAAAGGTGCAGAACGGTTATTCCACATCTGGAGAATGACGTGATTGCAGCAAATAAAACACAGGCTAGATCCTTCCCCAGTCCAAACGCTCCTGTGCGCTGATGGACCAGGCCAAGACTCGGGGCGAACAAGACCAAAGTAGGAGCTTCCCAGGAAACTTCGCACGCCGGTGGCAAGGCCTCGGTGGCAGACTCAGTTTCCCGAAGGAACGCCTAGCTTCAAGCTCCGAGAGGTGAAAGCCACCTAGGACTCGCAGGTCTCCAGCTTTAAGCCTCGGAACGTGTCAGGGAGCCCCGGGGGGTGTGGGACAGGAAGGCGGCCGAAGCCGGGCTGCTGATGCCGCGGTGACACCCCGCCCGGCCCTTACCCTTTATGATGGCCTGGATGGGGGAGCCGGCGGCCGGCGCCTCCCGCCTCCTGTCGCCGTGCGGCGGGGCCGCCGCGGTGCCGCGGCCGGGGGACGCGGGGCCAGCGCCGCTCATGGCGCTCGGCGGCCCCGGGGGCAGCGCGGCGGTACCACCTGGCCCTGCCCGGACCTGGCCCTGGCCCTGGACCTGGCCCTGGCCCTGGCCCTGGCCCTGGCCGGCCGTGCCCGCAGAGCTTCCGCAGGGCCCCGGTGCCGCGGCGTGAGATCATCGCGGCGCGCCCGCCCCGCCGCGGTACCGCCCCCAAACACACCCCCGGGACCTCGGCTGTTTGATGGGTGTTCTGTCAGGAGAGAAGGACACGGGTCCGGAGAAGGGGAGCGGAGCCGGTGGAGGGTCTGGAGCGCATGTCCTGTGAGGGGCGACTGAGGGAGATGAGGTTGTTTAGCCCGGAGAAAAGAAGGCTCGGGGAGGGGAGCTTATCGCTCTCTACCTGAAAGGAGGTTGTAGCCAGGCAAGCAGCGACAGGACCAGAGGAAAAGGCCTCAAGGTGCCCCAGGGGAGGTTCAGGTTGGCCAACAGGAGGAATTTCTTCACAGAAAGGGTGATTAAACATTGGAACAGGCTGCTCAGGGAGGTGATGGAGTCACCATCCCCAGAGGTGTTTAAGGAGAGGCTGGACGTGGCACTTAGTGGAAAGGTCTAGTTGGTAGAGTGGTGTTCAGTCATAGATTGGACTTGATGATTTCAAAGATCTTTTCCAATCTAATTGATTCTGTGATTCAGATAAATATAGTAAGAGACACACATTCAGGAAACCCACTTGCCTTCTGCGTGTAGCAAACACGAGTAACAACTTCTGAACGCATGGGCTGAAAGAAAAGAATAAGAGGAGCAGTCTTTTACAACAACAACAACAAAAAGGCAAAAATTATGTAAAATCCTTATACATTTCTTTTAAGACTATTTGAGAGTACAAAAGAGGCTCCTCAGTACAAGAGAGACACGGAGCTCCTGGAGCAAGTCCAACAGAGAGCTACAAAGTTGATTGGTAGACTGGAGCATCTCTCTTATGAGGGCAGGCTGAGGAAACAGGGCTTGTTCAGCCTTGGAAAAAAAGACTGAGAGAGGACCTCATTAGTGTCTACAAGTATCTCAAGGGAGAGTGTCAAGAAGATGGACCTAGGCTCATCTTGGTGGTGCCAAGCAATAGGACAAGAGGCAACAGGTAGAAACAGACGCACAGGAAGTTCCACCTGAATGTGAGGAAGAACTTCTTTACTGCATGGGTGACTGAGCACTGGAACAGACTGCCCAGAGAGGTTGTGGACTCTCCCTCACTGGAGATATTCAAGAACCGTCTGGACGCAATCCTGTGCCCTGTGCTCTAGGATGGCCCTGATTGATCAGGGAGGTTGGAGCACATGACCCACTGTGGTCCCTTCCAAACTGACCCATTCTGTGACTCTGACAGCATCAGGATATTTTCAGTATACCCACTCCTGCCCCCTTTTACCACCTCTCCCTTATAAATTACAGTATATTAACTTCTGTTTGTGATTTTTTTCTTCATGCCACATAAACTCAGTGACTTTTAGAATAGGTTGATCCTGGTTACAATGAAGGAAGAACTGGACCACAAATTCTGCTACACCTGCTGCAGCTTCAGTATTCTGACCTGGTATACCATAAAGGAGCCAGTTTAGCAGGAACAATTACTAGTTTATTCGTAGAAAACAGGAGCGATATATATTCCTTTCTTAGAAATTAGTTCTGCCCATGTTCTACTCTCCACAGCTTTTATGTGCAGGAATAATGGTGTGGCCAAAAAAAAAAAAAAAGTTTTTAGAGCTATTACAACTGACACAAAAAAATGATCCTATTATAAATTTTGTGTCCCATCATCAAAGCTCAGAAACTGTTCACTGAAATTAGTATATATGACAATACCTATATATATGTCGTCATATATATATATATGACAATACCTATAATCTTCTAAACTCAGGGTTAAAAATGAGTGAATTGGTTTTGTTGAAACAATCTACTCCAAAATCAGTCAAAATACAGTTAGAATCTGTTTAAATAATAAAATGCATCTCACACTGGGAAGTGTTCAATACTTAACATTATTACTAAATTCAGTATAAATACATAATCTAAAAGTATTTCACTCCTTCACTGTCACATAATCTGTAAATATTAATTAGGCAACTAACAGATATAAGAATTATTTTAAAAATAGTTCCCTTCCACATGATCTTTTTTTCACCTCAAAATAACCACCTCTTGCAACCTATAGATTAGTATTTATATTTTCCCATTTGAATTCAAAGCACATAAGCAACTGACAATCACCATTAGATTACACTAATGCTCATATATTAATAACATCTGTAGGATATTCCAGCTGGCTCCATCATAAATAATAATCTGGGGTAGAATTTTTCAAATGTTAATTTTATCCCTTTCCTGCCTAGCTGCCATTCTTTCGTAGTCTTTCTCTCAAACAAGTTATTTCCCCCTCTAAGCCCTATGTTCCAGCTTCTTATTTTTTAAGGAGGAAATCCTGTAGTTAAGGGGCTTTGCAACTGCTGCATTTCTAGGAAATAGTTCTTACATCATGAATAATGTCAGGTTCAGAATTATGGGAATGCAACAAGGGCAAATCCTGTGACAGGCAGCTGCATTGGTTTCTAGGACTACTGTCCTGAAACCATTCCTCCTTTGTTTGAATATTTTTTTTAAAGAATATGCTTTATTGTTGCATTTATGTCTCTTTTGTTGTCCCCCCCACTCCCTGCTCACTCTCACTGCCCCATATTTTCAAAACATATTCAAAAAAATTAAGGAGGACTTAAAGGGGTGATGGCTATAAAAAGACAATACTTGTGGAGCCCCTAACCTGTCAGTTTGTAGAAAGTAGTCATCAAGTCACAAAAATATGGAAATGGCTATGGCTTGGAGCATGAAAATCAACATATGTAGTCATCATGTATTTTTTTGGAAGATAGGCTAAACAACCTCTGTCACTTTTGCCGTGCAATGGAACCCGCTTTCTCTTTTAGGGATCACCCTGCCACTTCCCATTAGCGTTAGCAGCACTCTGAATTGCAAAATCTTCAGATGAACGTGCCGAGTCCTGTCATTTCCCCCACAGGCTGTCTAGCAATGATAATCCACTAAAGTATTGTTTCATCCAAGTGGCGGTGTCCGAGTCAAATGCCGGCAACAGGCAGGGAAACCCAAACCTGTTGAGGCAGACATCTGCCCAGATGGGAGGAATCGGAGCGACGGCCCTTAAGAGGGCGAGGCGGGGGACATACTTTGCGCCAGCAGAATAAGTCCATGGGCTGCACCCGTGATGGGAGACCAAGACCACGATCATGATGGCTGGAGGTTTGCGGGCTGCGATGCTGATGCTGGCCAAAGCAGGCCCGGGGCTGCGCTGTTTGGAGGAGTGCCTTGTCACATTAGCCGTGCGGCTACTGTATTTGATGCTCAACCTGTATGGACAGGCCTGCCAGGCAGAAACTGCTCAGGCAGATGATGCTAGGGAGGACAAAAATTATCCACCGCAAGACTAAGAAGACAGATGACACCCAGCAGGAACAGCAAGCCAAATCTGCAGAATCCACAATGCAGCTGGCTAGCCCGGGGCTACCTGACTCTTTGAAGAGGAACAGACATCACCTACGAGCTGTCAAATTAGATCACCAGCCTGAAAATGCTGAAAGAGGTTTAGTTCCTCCAATAGAGGAGGGAAAGTTTAATAGATGAAAATCTTCCTAAAGGGTCCAAGGTAGTGTGGGAGGATAAAGGGGAATCCTTCAGATGCAGCAACAATGAACAATTACTCACCTCCTGCCTGCCTGCCGAGTGGGAGATGGGATGCGCAGTGTTCCGCAGCAGCTGCGGTAGCTGTAGTCACTACCAGCATGGAAAATAAAGGCCACGCCTGCAGGAATGTGCACAGAGCAGCAACAAGTAATGCTTGCTACAAAATCAATCCCCCTCCCAAATCTGTGGTGTCTTTATATCTCGCCCTGGAGCTGGGCTCTGAAGTACTATAAATCTAACATTTAAGACATGCAGCGGTTGGGTACAAAGACCCAGCCTGAATCCGAAAGCTTGGCGCAGCAAAAGGTGCATGACAGCATTGCCCCTCACATTTCTTTTGCAATAAAATTGAAGCACAAGAAAACCCCCACACGTAATACAATTCAATTTTAATAATAATAATAAAAAACTTAGGATTACCTAGTGAGTAAGCATGTGCTCAGGTGTATGGTGAATATGAAGCCTGGCATTTCCATCAGGGACAGCAGCAGCATGATCCAATTAGAGATGCAAAGAAGAAACACTGCTCTTAGGGGGGAAAATATTAAATGTAGCAATCCATTAAGCAGCTGCATCACTGCAATTACACTTTGAAGTTAAAGACTGTGAAACACACTAAAGATTAAAAGAAGTGATAAGATTAAAAACCAAAAGGGGGAAAAAACCAAATAGGCCTACTGATCCTTCTTTCTAGCAAAAAAAAAAAAAAAAAAGTAGAAAAAATTACATACTAGGTTCTGTATACACATACAATTATAAAATCAATGTATGGCTATTTATGGCTAAGCAAATTTACTTGGAGAAAAATCTACTTCCAATTTCAGCATTTATGCGGCAGACAAACCATATATCACCTGCATAGATGCAAACAGATCAGAAAGAATATGAAGCAGGCTTTTGAATAGAAGAGCTTACAACTGAATTTCTTGATGATTTTACAGTTCTATTCCTTTATTTCCATCTTTCTCAGTTAATCTCTTTTAACATACTGTTGTTCCAAATCAACAGCACTGACAAGCAGATTTTTGATAATCTATTGTCTTTTAACTGAGAATAAAGATACCCAAGTTCTACCGCTTCTTCATCTGTATTTTTACTTGGGTGCATTTCACGGACAAAAGCACTTCTGAGTCACATTTTCATATAAAATAGTTAATATAAGGGAGTGTCTCATTTGAATTGCAAAGTACATCTATATTACACCTTACTTAGAGTCTCAGAGTTCCCTGTAATAACTGAGGATCCACACCCACACTGAAGAGTGTAAATTAGTGTTCCATCAGCTATAACTGAAATTAATGTATGTGTGTGTAGAGAGAAGGAAACTAATGTTGAAGAATTATTTTATAAAAATACTCTAATGGGCTGTAACACCTACTAGGAAGTTTAAGATGTACCTCACAAAAAACAGGCTCCCCATTTCTAGGCCTATGAGCTTCCAAAGATTCAGGCAAGAGTATGAAATTCCTGGGAGACAGGCTACTCAATTTAAAAATATTTTGAAGAGGGTGAGGTAAGCTATAGAAAAGGATTACAAAATAAAAAAGATTAGAAGCATATGAAAATATCACCCCTTACAGGCAAACAACTAAGATGTTAGCTAGCAGACTTCACTGGCAAAAAATTACACATTCTACACAAAGAATCTCTGGCAATTTGATAGGTGCAAAGCTCCCAAAAGCAAATATTTACTGTGGTTGATTGGACTGTTTGATTGGACTGTTTCAATTGTAAACCAGAAGTAGTATCTCCTAACTTGTTTTCTCTGTATAAAATGAAATTATGCCTATCTGGTAGGTAAATCACTGAGGACACAACAGGAATGTAACAGAAAGCATGTTGTACATTTAAGTTCTCATAAATAATTCTTTACAATTTTGCTGATGAAAAGCCTACACTTTGGTTCCATCTGAATGGTCAGATTTTCTTAATACCCATCTCTAAACTGGAACAATTTTTTTTTTGTTCAGAGTAATCTTTTCAAATTTTTTATTTCTACTCACTCTTTTCTAATCCCATATTAAACTCAAATTTTCCTGAAAGTCACTGTTGCTCAGTTATAAGTCTCAGAGCAATAACTACCCCTAGAGACTTCAGAAGTCAACACGAACTCTCACTTAAAAATGAAGTTATTACACATACAAAGACAACTAAAAATCAATACATTACTAACATATCTGATGCAAAACTCAAACACCTGTTTCAACCTGGCTTGTCTGCAAGCAGTAGTTATCTTGGCATTATGAGGAAAAAGACAAGTCAAAGTGGTTAAGTGTAAGATTTCACGGAATGCTTAAAATTATCATATTTATTTCACTGTTGAATTCTTCAGTTGCTGAAAGGTTGTCATGAAGCACTATCTCACCATATGGCAACAACCTCAAGTCCCAGAGGCACATACTTAAAAGACCATAACATGTCAGGCCCCTTGAATAAATTAGAACAATTATGCAAAATAATAATATGCAATAAGGAGATACGTTAACAAATGAAAGTGTTGCTGCTTATGAAACGCTGTGAAAATAAATTCCACACATCACTGTGGTCATCATCATCATCAAACTGCAAAGCAACACAAGTAAAACATCACAGTGCCCTTCAGCAACTGAAGTTTTAGGAAAGGAGAAAGGGGTTGTGAGGGATGAAAGTCTCTTTTACTAACGTTCAGTGAAAGTATAATAAAATATTATAGAAAGACAGGTGGGAAGTACCTTTAAAACCAGCTGAAGATTTGCCCATGTACACCCTTTATACTGACCATCAATGTTAATTTGAAAGCTCATGCTACAGTACACCTCATTTGTAAAAATTATGAAGTATAATTGTAAAAAATGTACCTCATACAGTCTCAGATAGACTCACGCTACATCTGTGTGATTTCTCAGAAGTTGTTTTACAGATTTGGTTGTCCTTGATCAAAAGGCATTAGACAGAAAGGGGGAGATGGGAGAAAAATCAATACCATCTGGTTTTCCCAGTCATCTCTCTAAAGGCAAAGTCTCCATTCTTCTTTGCTTTTAACCCTCTATCCCTTTAAGTTTCTCTGTGCAGGAGAGAGAAAATTGAAATATGCTCAAGTAACCATATGATAATGACCAAATGCTTTTTAGATAGTAAAGAGTTAAATACTACTAATCCAATTCTAAACATTTCATCTTTCTGGTAGGTGAATTTTTTTTAATAGTATTTCAGCAGCAAGTAACACTTCTGTTCTACACCAGAGAAAATAAAACTGGCACAAGAGGCTAGGGGATACTGCAGTGGCAGCATGTAGGCAACGTGAGAAATCCCAATACTTGGAAACAGCAGCTATTTGGGATTAATGAAATGACATTTTGTAGCAACATCTCTACAAAAGACGCCCATAAAGATGACAGTATTGTTTTTAGCAATATTTAGCTCTGGTTGCATTTCAGTGGTCTCAGCTGTAACATAAGCTGCTGTTCTCACAGACGACGACTTGCACAGATACTTCACAAAACATAAATAATTCTCACTTGGAATAGCAGATAAAACCAGTAAATCTGTAAGATGAATGTGAAATTCCCTAAACCCTGAACAAATGCACTGATGATTCACACCCATGCTCCCCTTCTGAAACAGAAACCAGCTCATTACAGTAGAATTGAGTAGAAGTGTAAGTATTTTTTTAAGTCTTATCATCACATGCTCCCACACATAGTTGAGGGGAAAAGCAAACTCACTTGTATACATAATACTAGGTAGAAAATGTTTGAATAAACTGGGAATTAAGAGTGCAAGAACTGACAGCAAACACCTGAAGCTTTCAGGTAGTCAAATACGAAAAAAATTGGATCATGAAGTCTCCAACACATTTGTACTAAAGCCCACTCCACAATTCTCGAACAGATCTCAAGATTTCAGTGAGATCTTTGTAAGTACAGAAGGTGAGTTTCTAAATAGCAAGGAACAAGAGTAGCTAACATGAGACATGGCAGAAGCAGAGATTTAAGCCCCCTGAAAAATGATGAGAAATTTCTGAAATTAAGTATTTCCACTCTAAAAGTAACTTGGTCTACCTGTAAATCCTCTATCAAAAATTATATATATACAGAAAACACTTATTAGAGCCCAGAATTGTCCAGGTTATGCTTACCTGTACAATTTTCTTGTGTCCATTTCTGTGTCAGGACACATTTTAATTATCTACCTACCTTTTTTTTTTTTTTTTAAGGACTGAGCATTATGAATGTTATAAAACATCTATCCAAGACAGATCTTCGTATTTATATTTACTTGGTGGGAAGTTCCTAAAGCAGCACACAAGTTAAGACTAAAGAATGTACAAGTGAAGTTGTCTGCTAAGTGCTGCTGTAGAAACCAATATAGAAGTCAATTTATCAATTAAAATATAATTTTTTTTCTTTCATGTGTTAAAAGAAATGTTAACTGAATTGTGCAAAGATATTTAAGCAATTAAAGTTAGCACTCTTAACTTTGTTAAAAATGGAGGGACCACATTCTACATTTAAATGACCCGTCCAAATGTGTGACTCAACAAGAGTGTTGCTGTTTTTAAAACCAACGTTAAAACATTGCTAGTGAACTGACAGACCAGTTCAGCTTATCTTAAGCTAAGGTTTTTGATTGGTTTTGTTGAGGTGGGGTTTGGTTGGTTTTTTATAATCTGGAAACTTGCATTGACACTTGAGTAAGAAATGAAGTGAGGAACACACAAAAATCTTTAAGAATGCTAACTTTTCTACCCACTTTGAAAGACAATGTTTCTAGAATCAAAACAGTATACGACAAAATGAAGTAAGAAGTGAACTAACCTTTCAAATATTCATTTAACTAACTGAATAAAAACTAGAAAGTTTCACAGCCAAATTAAAACTACAGTTTTAAAATAATTTATTCAGTCACATAAATACTTTGTAACATTTGCATGTTCCCTTTTTCACATCCTTGGCACACAATATAGCTCTTAACTTTTACAAAACTAGTGTAAACATCCATGGAAAACAAAATGAAAAGAAAGCGGGATGACGTACATAAAAATTCAATAAATAGTGAAAGAAGTGGATAATTGAAGGAAAATAATCAATTATTTCCTATAAAGATCATGTAATTCCACTTGAATGTTTAATTATAGGAACTTAAGTTTTTTTTTTTTTAAATAGTGAATTAAAACTCAGTTTCCATCTTTCTATCATGGCTGCATTTAATCAGATACATGACACAATTCTTTAGTTCAAATTCTTGAATGAACAACAGCAATTCAATGCAACTGTATTATCTGAGGCATTAACAGTTTTGTTTCACATACAGAAGGTTACAAAACAGTATTTGCTACTAGTGGCTTTGGACAGTATAACTTTTAAACTCCCAAACCTCCTTCCAACACGACATTAAGATTTTCCTTAATGAGCATTTGTGTATAATCTGTTCTTGATGAAGACGACATTAGACAGATGTTGCCGGACACCTGGGTAATGCTGAATGTGGTTGAACCAACGAGACACGTTAAGGTATTTCTCCTTTTCTTGCACTGTGAGGTCCACCTGCATGGGGAATAAACACAAGGCACCAGTGATACCAGGCACTGCATCACTGGTGTCATAACACGTGGTAACGCAAAATCAAAGTAGATAGTTTTACAAGTGATTTAAACTCAAGTAGGCTGTTGCAATCCAGCAGTACTGCATCCTAAGTTCACATATTAATATTTAAGCCCCAAACATGTAAGAGCCTTTCATTTACTCAAATGAACAGACCTGGAGGTGGAATATACATTTGTATGGTAAAGAGGGGGAAAAGGCTTGCTTGAATTTAATGTATCTATCTATTTCTGGGATCAGGATACAGTATTGAGGGGTGCAGGGAAAGAGTTTCACAACATGCACAACCCTTTCACATTAATTTATAAGACAGACAGTATTGTCTCACAGGCAAACTGACTGCTTTGTATTTCCAGATGTACTGTACGTACAGGAGTAAGTTTTTTTCAAGCAATTTGAGACTGGATAGGTAATTGGAAGTTGTTTTGTACGACTATTGCCTAATATGGAATAGTTACTAAGAATCAGAATAGCTTAACACTTAACTGTTCAGATGTACTAACTCACATTATTACAGTCGGATGATTCAAATTATCACAGTAAAACAAACTGGAAACCTGTCCATGCTTCATAAAAATATTTCAAGTACTATCACCTAGTCCTACAGTTTGAGATCTTGTTGTTCACTAGAGTTCTTAAGTTAAGAGCACAGTCACCTGCTTATTTCAACCCAGATTTAAATAGCTGCAAAATCAGTCAGGAAGAAGTCTACAGCTATCACACACTATCAATTGCAACAGCTCCTTGCCACAGGAATTGTGGCTAAGATACATGCAGAGCTTCAAGCCTATCTTTAATCATAGGGCTGGCTCAGATAAAGTAATCTACAGTTACAGATCCAAACTCTACCTTTAAAAGTCTTCTAAGTTCAGGTCAGCAGCATCCTCAAAGCTTCACTATTTATTTATTTTATATAACGTCTGTTATTCCTTCAGTCTTTCAAGCCAGCTGCAGAAGAACTATTCCTATTCTGTATCACCTGTATTACTATTCCCTGATTAACAATTTTATCTCTCCTTATGGCTTTGTAATCAAGTTAGTTTATCAGTTTAGATAACAATCATTAACAATCCTCACATTAACCTACTATAACTGAATTACAAACGGGGTAGTCCTCAAAACAGCCTACAAAACCTGCATCAAGAACAAAATGCGATCTTCACATCAACTACTCTATTTTATCTCACCAATACTAAAACCAATCAGCATGGGATTCACCTCACTTCATTTTCAGTTAGCCAAGTTAGCCAATCAAGCTTAAGTCTTGACAACGCCTGCAGTCAATGAGAAAGGGCACATCTGTAGAGGACAGTTTTAACACAAAATCGCTACCCACACATGCCCAATATTTTTCCATGTTTAGATTTCTGAAGCTACTCAAAGTTAATCCCCTCCTCAAAAGCTATACAGATGGCATATTCCTTATGCTTTGTTTTACAAACTCTAGATTTTATGGATGCTGGAGATTCACTGCAATTTGGTCTTGGGCACAGGACAGCTGGAAACAAATCTGTTTAAACAAACTTTAGATCACAGTGAGAACTATACATACTACCTACAAGTGAAAAGCTGCTGTTTAAAACAAAGCCTCATGTTAAATTTGACCTTGTGACACACCATCCTTTCGATTTTAAGAGTTGCCTTTAACATTTGCTACTTCTCCTAGCTGTTCTCTCACACAGTCCAGCACTTGGCTTAGAACTGGGAAGATTTAAATGTGAAGCCGGAAAATAAAAAAGGATATATACTGGAAAATGAACTAATGGAAATACACCAAGGAAAAATTCAAGGAGTTGCAGGAAGGAATTCTCAACCAATAGCATATAGCATTAAAGCTCTTTTAACAGGAAGTTAAGAACACAGTAACTGTGGCAACAACCAGAAAGCAGGGATCTTGCAGCTGCTCCTAAACCCAAGGAGCTGCTCTTCCTATGGAACTTACTTGCCTACAAGTGGAGCACTACACGTGCATTTCCACAACACGTTCTGCAATTTTGAACTATTATGAACCTCAGTATAAGAAAATCTGCTTTTCTTGCTGCTGGCATGGAAATGTAAATACTATTCCTACAGCTGTATAGTCTGATAGAAATGTACAGAAAAATCAATTAAAATCAGCCACACCTTTTCTGATCAAGAAATATAAGAGTTATTTGAATAATAAGGTAAGTGGAAGAGAGTAACACTAATAAGTGAGAAAAAAAAATTCCAGAATTTTACAAACAAAAGTGGAAGCTATTAAAATATAACACCAAGTATTTCACAAATTGCCTGAGTTTCTGCAAGTGCAGTACATTCAGGACCAAAAAAAAAAAAAAAAAGGCAGTACCATTTAAGGGAAGATGCTTTTGATCACCTGCAATGCATTATAACTAATGGCAGTAGGAAGCTGATGCTTGATATGAAGCTGCAGAACCATTAACGAAGTAACACAGAGAATGAAAAGAACAATGTGTGTACTCTAAGGCTGTCTAAAATTACTCAAAGTGAAGAAAAGTATCCAAGTATGAGCAGATACTAAAATGCCAACAATTTAAGTTCCTGGAGATTACAGTACCCTTTTTCAAAGTCTTTAATGGGTAAGCACCTGGTTATGAAAATGCTGAACCAAACTTTAGGTTTTGAAGCAGATACAGTATTTCCTCCCCCAATTTTACACTGAAAATTTTCAGTCTTTACATTTCTCCAATGTAAATCAACGATAAAAGTCTGGAAAACTAGTCCTCTTTCATTCTGTTAGCATAGTGAAAAAACATCTGAAGGGCAAAACAGACAGCTACTCTAATAATAAAACCCATTTTTGTACTCTAGGCAGAACAAGCAAGATATTTTTACTTATTTACATAATGTACTCTATCAGTGAAATATATTAAAAAGCACTTTGTGGCATGCTCTACTTTTTACTCAGAACATAACTCTTAGGTTAATTGTTTAGAGATCACTTCCATGGCATTTTTTACAACATTTTGTTAGATGGGTATTTTCTGTTCTTCCTCATTAAATTAGACAATTCCCCCAAGTTAAGAAAGGCTGCTGTTCTTCTGTTATAATAATTATTTGCTATTAAAGCAATTATTTTAATAGCAAAGAAGCAGACACTCAATTTGACAGGCTTTTTTTTTTCCGTGACACAGAAAAAAAAAAAAAGTCTTGTTCTTCCACCACAAAGCTCACAAAGGGGAACCAAGGTGGTCATCATACAATGCAACTTTAAGAATTGCTGCAAGGGCTATAAATACACAAGCTTTAATTATATTTGCTTTCTATAGCATTGGGGATGCAGGCACAAACTCCCATTCCCACTCTCTACGTTGTGCGTGGAAAGTCTAAAAATACATGGCTAATCTGAAACTCTTCAGCAACAAGAAAGACTAAGATACTAGTGTACTTTTTAACTTTAGCTTTTAGATATGGGAGAAAAAGGAAAAAAAACCCAACAGCTGGGTGGTATATTTAATGATATACATGTGCTTTCATGCTGTTTAAACTGCTGTTAAAGGAATAGGTTTAAAAGTAAATCTTTAAGTTAAAACTGGGGTTTTTTGCAATTCAGTTGAAGAATCATTTTTATCATCATTCTTTAAAAGTAAAGCCTCATCTCAGTACTAAAATAAGCAGCATATCAGTGAATATTAACAAAAATTCATGACAATCTGTTTATTATAGGAAATGTTCATTATGGAAAAAACCCTATAAAATAAACTATTATTGCAGTCTCATTATAGTTCAGTATTAGTAGTTGTGATTCAAGGAGAACAGCTTAGGCTTTTTTGTACTTGACTGCATGTGATTTGACCCCAAAATTTTGACTGAGGCTTCTTCCATTTGCAAATATAAATTTCACCCATAAGTTATTTTCCAGACATTATTAAAGAAATTTTGAAGTCAGACATATAGATTTGAGATCACTTCTTTGGTTCTGACAATTTTTTTGAAGTATAAAAGCAGATCAATCTACACATTGATTATTTCTCTTAAAATAGAATTGGACTTGTACTGTTCAAAAATACTTAAGAATAAAGACACTGGGAAACTTTTTTTCATAATTTTAAATTAAAAAACAGATATGAAAACAAGTTCATTACCACAGGGGGAATTTAATGCTTACTGATTGTCTGAGCTAT